AATTGACTTTAGCATTTGTACACATATAATGATTAGCTTATTTCAGAGAAGCACATTCCACCTGTCCCTAAATGTGAACTGTCAAGTCACCTGTGGAAAACTGCATCATCTGAATGTAGCTTTATCTTCAACCTGTCTATCAGGTAGTATCTATTCTTCTCTGAGTATCAGTTCCATTCTGTGTACTGTTGGTTCCTCTGTTTACTTTTTAGATTGACTCTTTCATATTAAAATTGAAGAAAAATATTTTAAGTCAATCATTCTGTTTTTTTTTTGTTGTTGTTGTTTTTTTTTGAGAACTGTCTGTATACACATAAAAGATGTTTTCCTCTTTTTACTCCCCACCCCTCAACGTGTTCCTCTCCTGCATACAGGAGCACCACCATCCAGGCAGCCAAGCCTCCAAACCTAGGAGTCAGCCTTAGGGTTTACCTCTCCTTGAGAATCAGGGCTCTGTAGTCCCGTCAGCTCTACCTTCATCTAGGTCTCAGCCTTCCATTTCTCTCCATCTCCATCACTGCCCCCTATCTGGGCCACCCTCACCTCTCTCTTGCAGTGACCTCCAGAAGGACACTCCAGCTTCTGCACTTCATTCCACCTTCTGCTTCAACCACACCCTATTGGCAGATGCTGTGATCCTTTAGTCACTCACCTAAGACTCTGCTGGGAACAGCATTTCCATCCTCCCCTTGAGGCCTGACAGGCTAAGTCTATTTTGCCTCAGCACCATCCCATCCTCTGTACCTAGAAAGTCCTTTCCTCACATTTTTATGTCTTAAAGGTCTCAGGTTGGTCTGCTCTGTCATTCACTATTATGTTATCTTCTCTGTGGAAATTATGACAACTTGATCTCTAAAAAAACGAATGAACAGACTTCATGTTTTAGATCATTTTTTGTCTTTATAGAAAAATTGAGGGCAAAGTACATCATCCCATATACCCCCCCCTCTGTCCTCTCTAAACAGTTTCTTCTGTGACGGACATATTGCATTTGTGTGGGGCATTCATCCCAGGTGATGAACCCTATTGACATTATTAACTAAAGTCCACAGCGTAGATTAGGGCTCACTGTTTGTGCAAGAACTTTCTACAGGTTTTGATGAATCCATAATGTAATGCATTCACCATTATACAATACAGAAGAGTTTCACTGTTCTAAAACCTACTGTCTAACCATCTCTGGCCTCCCAACCTCTGGCAACCACTGATCTTAGCCTTTCCCAGAATGTTGTCACACAGTGTGTTGATGTCACACAGTGTGTTCACTATTTGATTATTTGAAAATAATTAACTTAATTATTGTCTGTGTTTCTAAAGACAAAGGCTTCAGAGAATAGGGTCCTTATCGTCTTGTTCTCCTCTTTCCCCATAGGGCTAACAACAGGTCTGTGGTGATCCTCTGGCAGAATGGATTGATGGAATGAATTACCCACTAATCTAATTGATAGCAATCACCCAAACTTCCTTTCTTGACTTGTTCTAATAACGTTGAGGCAGACTTACCTAAATTTCTAATTTTTACATTGGTGGCTTGAAAATATCTGGAAAAGAGTTGCCCCTGTTCTCAGATGGTTGAAGGTGTGGCTATGGTAGGTCCTTTGGCCATATAAAACCAATGCAGGGATGTGACTAGTTATGCTGGGAACACGGGCAATCCCAAGTTATGACTGCTAGATCTGAAATGTATCTTATATTAATAGCACGTTCAGGGATGCTTCTCTCTGCCCTTTAGTACCCAAAGGCTGCATATAAATCTGCTTCTCAACTTTCTCCTATCATTTCCTTCACTCTTCTGAATCTTAACCATTTATTCCCCCAGTCAATCTCCATTTTTGTCACTTTCTACCCCTTTCTATTCTCCATTCCTCCGCTCCCTCCCTCCCTCCTCCTTTCTTCCCTTCCTTCTTACTTTCTTGGTCTTGCACATGCTAGGCAAGTACTCTACCATTTAGCTTCACCCCCTGCCCCTCCTATCCTTTTTCACATGTAAAACAGAAAAACAACGAAATTGTGACAAGATAGAGAACAACATTTGATATTCCCTATGTTAAGGAAAGAAGAATCCCATATTTTAAAATGCAGTTAACCATAACGAGGAATCAAACCTTTTTAAACAGTAAGAAATACTTAGAGGTCTCTGATACAATTTCTGGAAAACATTCCATTTTCTTTCATGAAAATTCTTTATTCTTAATCTCCACCTTTAAGATATAAAGATCTATTTTTAACGTTATTCTTAGCTTATTCTTTTGTTCATTGGGTTGCAACTTTTAGAAATCTTTCTTAATTCCTGATCTCTAAAAAATACCTTTGAGTGGAAGTTTTAGGATGTTTTTCTTTTCTTTTCTTTTTAACTGGGGATGAAATCTAGGGGCACATCTCCCTTCCCCTATTTTGAGGCAAGGTCTTGCTTAACTGCTGAAGCTGGCTTTGAACTTGGGAATTGTGATCTTTCTGCCTCAGCTTCTCTAGTAGCTGAGATTGTAGCCATGTGCCACCAAGCCCTGTGGTTTACTTCAGGATTTCGAGTTCTAGGAAACAGACTCATCTTTACCCTATTTAATATCCTTCAAATTTAGATCCACTCAGCCTCTCTCTTTCTGGACTAAACCCCAATCTTTCTACCATAAACCCCTTCCCAGCAGGGGAAGCACGAATGAGCAAAATCCAGAAAACACTTGCTAATGCTGTTAATTGTGGATAGAATAAGCAGAATAATGTCTATTTTGGGGGCATTTAAAAAGTATAAAACAAGCATTTTTGAAAAATATGCAAAATTAAAAACAATAGCACATAGGAAAAAAGATATTAAAACCCATCTATAAACTTCCAGTATTATGTCATGTCACAAAATTTTTAAAGAAATAAAAAAAAATTTTGAACTTGAAAGATAACTCTTAACTCATTCAATACCAAATAGCACTGTGTAATTTAGTGCATTAGGTTTATTTGAAGTTCTAGTTATAAAAATTATTAATATGCTTTTAAAGTGAACACATTGTAACTTACAGAACTATTGCAGTGCATACTTTTATACTTATGTATTCACCTAAAATATTAGTTGGTAGAGGTGATCTAGCCTGTGAGGCTATAATCACCTCTTTTGCATGCCTGGTATTTCATAGAATGCTTTCAAGAGCCTTTAAAAGTAAGGAAATAACTCTGCCTTGGGGAGTTAAGCTTGCCCCAAAGACACATTTCTTCTTTTAAAAATTTTCCTGAGTTCCATAAAGATGATATAAAAGAAGGAATAAAGTAAGCCTAAAGTATGCCCATGAGGCTTAAATGACTTTGAGGGTTTCAGTGACCTTAGTAAATCACGGTCTAAAGCTTCATTCTCAGGGTTGATCAAGTTACTAAAAACTTCAGTGCAATTACAGCTCTGTTCTTAAGCAGGTCAGCATCCACACCTCCACAGGCTTCCCTTTAGCAATCACTCTGCGTGTCACCCAATATTCCCAAATAACAGGATTACAGTCTTGCTTCTTTGCCCAGTCTTTTCAACCTTCATTTGAATGGCAGTGCATCCAATAACATTAAGTAGTGGACTCAGCAAAGGAAAAAGTATACAAAGAAGCCAACTTACCATCAAACACGTTACTATAATAATAAAGATGCTGAGAAAAATGACAACAGCATAAAATCCTTCTTTGCTCCAGATTCTGTCCGCTTCATGCTGCCCTTGTAAAACATTTTTCTTTAAAAGCAAAACAGAAAGTCCGATGTTAAATGA